CCCCCCCCGCCCAGTCCCCACTCCAGTTTGGTGCCACTTCAGAATTACAGGGCAGAAGCATCATGCTTCACAGAGCACCTTGACCATGGTCCTGCCCAGCTTGTGGGGGCTGATGCAGAAGCCACCACGGTCCACATAGCCCCCTGGGATCATCAACAAGACTTTTGCTCCATGGGAGCTTTCCTGCATTTAGTGAATGAAATCAAATCAGAAGCTATGGCCCTTTAGGAAAGCAGGCCGTGGAAAGGACAGAAAGCCATGGTCTGCAGGAAAGGGGCTCCCTGTGTGCGAAGCCCTGTGTCCCACTGTACCCCCAGTACAGTGCAGTGACAAGAACCTAGTGATGACACTCCCAGCTAGCAGGGGGGTGGTGCTAGGCACGCGTTCTGGTGTTTCTGCATGGGGAGCAGAGCTTGCCCAAGTCCAAGTGTCCCAGCTCCCTCACTCCCTGGTGCGGGAAGGCCACGGGCCTCGCAAATGTGCGGTCCCCATCTCTGAAGCCAGAATTGCTCCAAGGGCCGTGTGGAACTCTGCAATTGGGAGCTCTTCACCAGAGCTGAGCAAAACCTGTGGCAGGGAGAGTCTCAGGGGCTCCTCCTCTCCCGCCCAGTGCCCTGCCTTTGACAACTCGGGCACATTACCGAAGGCCCCAAGATTTTGCTGTGAGGCTGTCCCGAGTCCCACCAGGATGCCTCTGAAGCCCCCAGACTGCGTGTCCCCTTCAAGACCACAGCCAGCCCACGTCGCTGAGCCAGCGTCAGGCACTCTGATGAATGGCTCACGGCCCTCGGCTCTATGGCCGGCTGCACCCTCTTCCTTGAAACGGCTTTGAAGTGTGTCCAGGTTAGGCCCATGGCCAGAGAGGTCGGCTGGGGACTCTTCAAGGGGCTGGGTTGGGTTGGGGGGTGTAGCCTTTAGGTTAAGGTCCCCCAGGCCCCTCTTTGAGGTGCGGCTTGCCCTGTGGCATCTCCCACGAAATCGGGGGGTGTGGCACCCCCTCCTGCTAGGCCAGCTTGTTTCTTCCCGCTTGGTCACCTCACCACTTACCTTGCAGGCTTTGCCGTGGCCCAGTGCATAAACCAGCACAGCTTGCCATCCCTGTCCTCGCCATCTGCCGGCGGCGGGAGCCCCAGCGGCAGTGCGAGCACCAGCCACTGCGACTCTGGAGGTACCAGCTCATCATCCACCCCTTCTGCCACCCAGAGCCCATCAGGTATTGGCCGCGTGATGTGGTGCGGGCGGGGGGGGGGTGGCGGGGCAGCGACTTTGGGGAGCTCTGTGATCCCTCCGTGCTGAGACCACTGACCCCCAGCTCATCCTTGCCGCCGCCGCCTGGGGTTCTGCGGTCCTTCTGATGTGATGGCTGGTCTAGCTCCCCGCAGGGGAGGAGTCACTCTTTTTGCAGGCTGGCCCCCCGCCGAGAAAGACCTTCCCTGACTGCAGGGCTGGAGGGGATGGACGGCTGCCGAGCCTGCATCTGCCCCATTATCACCTCCACGAGGAGGGGTCTCCCAGACCAGAGTGTGTGAACCTGGCAAAAGCCTTGTGTCCATGCTAATTTGTTCTTTCCTTCATAACATACCAGTTTTCTCTGTAAATGTGTGCAGTCCAGACGTCTGTGACCAGGGGTACACCCTTTGGGAGTCTTTCGGGATGAGCTAGAGTCCTGTCTCGCCTTCCTGGGCCTCAGACAAGGGCAGGCGTTGCACGGGCAGACCCCGTGAGCAGGGGGGCTACAGTGAGATGAGTGGCAACCCCCTGTGTTCTCAGCCACCATGAGCCCCTCACACGTGGGCACCTCACTGTGCCCAGTGAGATCCCAGAGGCAAGGCACCAGGCTTTTTTCCTGAACTCCTTGGCTGCACAATGCAGCCAGATGGAGCAGGGCCCAAGCAGGGATGCTGGAGAGGGGCTTGGGGGGTGCATGAAGCTTCACGCCCCAGCAGCAAGACTCCATGGGTCTGTTCTGATTTGGGAGACCCCCTCATTTGGGGACCCTCGGTGTCCTTCGCTGTTCCTTCAAGATCCCATCCAGAGCTCTCACCTATCCTATCTCAGGGCACCTGACCAAACTCTTGTCAGGCGGCGGATTGGGGGGGTCATGATAAAAGCCACGTGCCAGGAGACTAAGGGCCCCCGGCTCCTGTTCTCTCAGCACTGGAGCCCACGATCTCCTTCGATGTACGCACCTCTCCAGGATTGTCAGCTCCCACATTCCCCAGCGAAGGGTTAACCCCGCCTGGTCTTGCCTGCTGCCTGCAGCCCCCTCCTCCCACCAGCATCCATTACCTCCAGCTACTATTGACATCCCTGAGGCCCAGGCGGCAGGGTCACCCTCACGCCACCTCACTTAGACCTTCTTCCACTCAGCACCTGCTCCTCCCCCCGTCCCCTCCCCGCCCCAGCTTGGGGGGAGGTGGCCGCCTTGTCTGAGCTGTTTCTGAGCCCCATCTGAGATTGGCTGCAGGTGTTGCTGCCGGTCCCAGGCCCACAGCGGGACATTCAGACGGCGCTTTCTCCAGAAGCCAGGAAGAGCCCTCCACCTTCCTCTGCAGCCTGATCTCACGCTGGCTCTGGGGACCGAAGGGCAGGGTTGTGTGTTCACGGGCTTGTGTGTGCGCCCACGTGCAGCCTGCATGTGCACGCTTCTGTGTCTGTGTCGTGTGCACCCAAACACACTTAGACTTACGATCGCATTTGGGGTGAAGGTCTCTTCCCGATGGAGCTGTGTACGCCTTTCTTTCATGTTTAAGAAGGCACAGACAACAGCTAAGCGAACAAACAAGCTGTGTACTTCTTTGCCTAAAACTGAAACCAGCCAAGACCCACAATCGTCAAAATCAGGTCTGTGTTTGCAGATGTTCACGTGAGCGCGGCCCCTGGGACTTCGGCTCTGCACCTTCCCCCAGAGGCTCAGGGTCGCCAGGAGGCGCATTTCTTTTCTCTTGGCCTCCCTCAGCCCCTCCGTCCCTACCGCCACCATCCCCCGCACGGTGCCAGTGACCTGTGTTCTCATCTGAGAAATGCAGGGGCTGTCAGCCTGTCAGGTAGCCAGGCAGCGCCAGTTGATAAGTGATGGTCAGGCTCTCCTGGGTGTCTGCCCCCGTTCCGTGCATCCCCGGCAGGCCTGTGGAGGCGAGTGTGCGAGGCCCCATTTTTTATGCTGCCTGACAGTAAAAGCTTGTGGCCCAGCCTGCCTGTCCAAGTCTCTGCAGACACTGAAGTAACTCACCCCCTGACGAAGGCCAGCCTGTCAGGCAGCCTGCCCTTCACTCTCAACTGAGGACCCAGCTCCTGATCCCTGGAAAGAGAGAGCATCGGAACCCACGCGCTGCTCCCTGTCACAGGGGCCTGGCGACCGGAGTCACAGGCTGGGGTGGCAGGTCTTGGGAGGGCCACCATTCACTCGGCCTCTCAATGGCCACCTTCCAGGCCAGGCTCCAGCCTCCTGGGTCCCATCCACAGCACAGCACAGGAGGTTTCCGTGTTCCTCATAAGGGCAGGCCTCCCCAGATGGTGCCGCCACGCGCCTGCTGTCTCCCCAGGCTGTGCTGGACAGGAAGCTGAGGCTGCAAGGGAGGTGTTGTCAGGATGGATGCTCTTTGGCCACGTTCCTGGGTTGATGTCGGCCCAGAGCGGTGGCCCGGTGTTCAGACTTCTAATGGGCAGAAGCTCCGCCTGCGGGATCTGGGCATAGTCAGCCGGCGGCGGCATCCTGCAGGGCCAACTGAGCAGCAGGACGGGCCGGGGCCTCTCCCTGCAGCCCACCCAGCCGGGACAGCAGAAGACAGCTGCGGCCCAGTCAAGGGGCCACTTGTCCTCCCAAGTGGTTTTGGAGGACACAGTGCTGAATCCGAGGCATTCCTAGCCCTGTACTTCCAGGGTCTCTGAGTCCAGGAAGTTCCCCGTGGGGAGAGCCGCTGCCAGGCCCCTTGCAGCCAGAATTAGCTCCGCTGGCTTCTCTGCTCTCGAAGCCACACTTTGCACGGGCAGGTGTTTGGTCGGGGAAGCAGACGAGAGATGCCATCCGTCAGGGGACGAGACAGGCCCAGCTTTCCGTGACTCTGCGGCTTTGAACCCCGGAATTATCCAAGGATATCTCTGAGAGCCAAGGGTGAGCCTTACACTATCCTAGCCATAGATGGGGCCCAGGCACCCACTGCACACCCTTCTCCAAGCACATGTGCTGTGTGCTGTGTACCCGCTCCATCGAGGCCCAGCAGGTGTACCTCCTAATCCCCCCGTGTGCTGGGCACTGTGCTCACAAACACTGGACAGACACCCCCTCACTGAGACTTGCCACCCTCCACCTCACGCTGTACAGTTGAAAACACGGGGGCTCAGAAGGATCCCACGGCTTGGCCACGACAGTGCAGCCAGGAAGCCGAGGAGCCCACACACGGGCCCCAGCCTTAGTAATTCTAGAACCCATGGTCTGCCTTCCGAAATCACCCCGCAGAATATCCCTGCAGTTCCTAAGTCTGTTTCCGGTGCCTCCGTGGGGCGCTGCAGAGCCCTGGACCTCAGGTTCAGATCTCTGTTGGGGGACAGCCCATGGAGTGCGTGCATTTCTCCTTCCAGTGTGTGTGCTTGCTCTAGAAACCACACGAAAAGCCACAGCCCATGCATAGAGACCCTGGCAACTGTGCTGCCCCAGTCAACCAGGGCTGAGCCGTGTGGCCCCTGTGGGAGAAGCCTGCTTGTCCCCCGAAGTCAGCAATACAGTGGACCCCAGAGGGCCCCATCTCCTCTGCCAGCCCAAATGGGGTCATCCCCAAATGAGGGCGTAAAACTCTTTTGATACTTAGTTATTTCCCACCCCCACCCTCTGTCCAGCCCAGGGGACCTCAAGTTCTCTGCCTGGGTTTGCAGGAAGCCCTTTTTATCCCAAATACAGATTTTTTTCTCAGCTGCCCACGGGACCTTGAGTCGGAGTGACTCAGGTTTTGTGGATGTCAGACCTGATCTCACTAGGGTCCCTCCAAGGGTGGCCCTCACGTCTGGCCTCTCTCTGCATCTCATCTCTGCTGGCCTTGGGGCCCTATCTCCACTGCATTAACATTTTCTAACCAAACAGGTTTTTGTTGAGTCCCTGCTATGTGCCGGCACTGGGGATAGAAGGTGACAAAGGAATGCACAGGCTAGCAGGGGAGGCCAGGGTCTACCAGATGACCGCACATAAGTGTCCAGTTGAGAACTGTGACAAAGGAAAGGTGCAGGGGGCTTGGGCAGCACGGAACAGCAGTAGGAGGGGCCGGCAGACTCCCAGAGGCAGCAGCCGAAGGCTGAGGGGTTAATGAGGACAGCGGTCTGTGAGGAGGGTGGCCTTAGGTCTCACACAGCCCCCCCACCCCCTCCAGGATGAGCCCAACCTCTGGCAGGAGACAAGTTGGTTTCTTTTCCCTCTTTCCCTGGGGTCTACCCATAAATGCTGCCCTTCCAAATACAGACCCCAAGGGGCGGCCTGTTTTTGAGGAACAGCGCATGTGCCCATGGGGGCCTAAGCCCGTGGCCCAGCGCTGGCAGAGGGCCCCTCACCACAGCAGGAAGGGACCCGCCCAGAGGGTCACTGGTTTGCCCTCTGTGCTGGGAGAACCTGCTTCTGAGTCTCCTCCTCATGCCAGGGACAGAGTGTGGATGCTTGCGAGTGGCTTTTTTGCAAGTGCTGGACCTCAAATCAGGGCCAAGAGACACCTGGTTACCAGGTCACAACTGAATTCCCTGGTAACCAGAGAAACCAGCTAGAAGGAGTTGGGAGCAAGGGTATTTTATTTTCATGGTTACTTATTCACCTGTTAAGGCTGTGCCGAGGGAATTATTGTCCAGTTGTAACAGCTGATGCGTGAGTTGACCTGTTCCCCTTGTCCTTTATAGAAAGTGCAGTGAGACCCTCAAGCCTTCCTGGGGAGACCGGTGCCCTGGGCAGCCTCCTGGGACCTGGCATCTTGTTGCCCACTCGTCCAGTGCAGCCGGCCTGATAGGCCTCAGCTTGCTCTTCACTGAGAAAATTATAGAGTTGGAATTAGCAGGCGTTTTTTTCCTTAAACACTTGATAGTTTTGAGAAGCTGAAATTGCAGAGAACCTATGGCGGGAAAGAGAAAATAGACCCAATTTGGAACCAAATGTAGGGCCGGTAGGAATACTTTAGAAAAGCTTTCTGGGTTACATCCCGTCACACGCACGTACACACGGGCAGATGCACGCTCACACACACCCAGTGCACACGCTTGCAGCCACATGCCCTGTGTGGGGCTCAGATAAGAGAGCTCCTCAGGATTGAGCTCTGTGACCGGCTCTGTTGTGTCACACACACGTTCGCGTGAGCTGCTTCGAGGAGAAAAGACAATCGTTTGTTAAAAAATGAAGTCAGCGTGAAGTCCAGCCTGCTCTTTCCGTCGTCCGTTTTTAGGGCCCGTGGAATGAGCGCTTTGACCTTACCCCAAGGTTTTATAGGAAGAAGGAAGGGTTTGGCCCTTGGAAGCCCCGTGTTGAGGCCTGGCAGGGGCAGGGTCCTGCTCTCCCCATCCTCATCTGCCCCCTGGGAACACATGACCTTCTCCCCAGCACTTGGTCCCTTTCCGGCCCACTGGGAGCCAGACAGCCCAGGACTGACCCGCGTGTCACTGAACTCGGTTACCGGTCAGGCGGGACTTGAAGGACAGAAACCCCGAGCAAGGCATGTTCTTTTCTCCCCAGTTTTCTCCATGGCATTAATTTTTTTTTTATCTTGGTGAAATACACATACCACACGATGCACCATCGTAACGACTTTTAAGCACATAGCCCCGCGCCGCATTAGGTTATATTCACGTTGTGTTCTGTGGCATTAATTTTCAGCTTGGCTCGAACTTCAAGGTTATGTCCGAGAGTATGGTTCCTTCCTTCCCAGGGAGATGCTCCTAACATTTTTGTTTCAGCCAATTAGAAACCCCCTTGGCTGCTCGGCACCTGGTCTCAGGCCTTCCTGCTGTGGCTCGGCCTTGGTCTCCAAAGGTGCAGAGCCGCCGAGTGTCTTCTGGAGTGTGGCTGGGGAGGGGTCCAGGGCTTGCCCAGAGCTCCCCGAGCTGTGCTGTTGGCTTTAGTGTGGTGACATCAGGAAGCTCGGGGCCTCATCGGTTGGGGGGCGGAAATCTGCTTGTTTCTCTAGCCCGCTGGGCTCCCGTCCCCCGGCCCCACAGCCTTCCCTCCTCGGACGGTCCCAGGGAAGCAGGGCCCTCGTGCTCGCTGCTGGTTCACGTGTGGATCTGCCCGGCTGCTCTGTCCCTCTGTCCCTGGACGTTTCTCGCCAACAGACACCACGCATGGCCAACCACCCCCAGTCTTTCCTTTCCAACAGGACTGAGCCGTCGCTGTCTTGTCCCTCGAGTGAGCCCCATGAGTGGGCACACGGTTGGGCCCCTCGCCGTGGTGATGGCGCCCCGCTCCCCTGGAGCTCTCGTCCAGGCCGGGCGTCCGTCACCGCTCCGCGCCCCTCTCCGGGCCCCCTTTCTCTGTCGCGCGGTTGAAGGCTTTCTCTGACCTGTCGCTGTGTTTGCCTCTAGTCAGGAATGGCAGGAAAGGACGCCGGCGAGTGTTCAGCCTGTCGGAGGCCGACAGTCACGGCGGCCACTGGGTTTAGTGCTTCCAACGGCAGCTGACACGGCACCTCCCGCAGGCGACTCAGGCAGGTCTCGTCCGCTAGCCTGCGCGGCCCACACGCCCCGCCGCCGCCTTCCCGTGCCTCGGGGGACCTCGCGGGGCCTCGGGGGACCAGGCCTGTGCCACCCCCTCCAAGCGGCCATCTCCCCAGCTTCCCCGAAGCCTGTTCTTCCATTCCCCTGCGACCTCACCTGGGCTGGGGCCCGCATCCCCTGCCCTCGAGCTTGGGCAGCCTGGAAGCGCCGTCCTTCTCCGCGGACCACCCAGTGGGGTGGGGGGGGTGTTCTCCAGCCCAGTCTGTGCGGGGGGGCCCCTGCGTTAGGCCACGAGGGTTGAGCAGCAGATTTTGCAAAAAGCAACTGAGAAATCAGCTGGGTTCTCTTTTTCTTTTCTTCCCCCTCCCCCCCCCACCCTCCCCCGACCTTGCTCAAAGCTCAGTAGTGGATTCAGTCCCGCCTCAGCCA